CAAGAAGTGTAACTAAATGCTCATGCCACAAATTGAAGTAGAATTCTCATTTGTTAATTTTCGTTTAATATTTCGTGATTTCACATGTAAGGTTTCATTATAAGAGGCAACCAAATCAAACAAATATAGATTATTATATAAAGATAAAAAAAACTAGTACTCACAAAATTTGAATAAAGAAAAAGACTAAATGTATTATTTTCAAATGAAAAAAAAAAGTTGAATTTGTCCAAAACAAAAATAGGAACCAAATTTCGTCACTGTAAAAGTCTCTTTTAAATCAAATAAAAATCAGTCTTTAATAATAACCTAAAAGTTCTTATAGTCTCAACTTCAATTGATTTGTCATTGTCCACAAAGATGAATCTTTAGACATCATTTGGCTTTCAGCTATTCAGGCAACTCTGTATAGACACACTTATATGAGTAGTGGCGTTGAGATCAATCCACCAAGTATGTATAGGTTTTGAAATTTAATTAATCTCAGAACAAACCAAAGCGAGAAACGTATCTTTCTTTACATGCTAAGCATGGTATTTGGTACAATTACTCTTCAAGTATCCCAAAATTCCATAAAAGTAATAGCCAAATAATTCGTCATTTTCAGGCTTTTGTTGTTTCTTTTGAGCTGGACCAAGTGCAGCATCCTTATTTTTTCTTTTCTTCAACTTGTCCTTAGATGTACTAGCCAAGTGAGCACTTTCCATTCTGTCTTGCTTCGACCCTTCTTCATTTTGTACACAGTATGACGTGCTCATTAAGAGTCTACTTCCCCTTTTGACAATTATAATTAAATTGATTGAATTGTAGAGAGAGAAATCAAAACCAAATGCACGAACAAATTATCAGAAAGCTCAAGCTTTAGCGCCTTTACTTTTGAAGCAATATGAGACATCTTCATGATATACTCCCGAATGTTTCATTTATCATTATACTTAAGTGAAACCAAGTTCGCCAAAAGCATACTAATTTCGACTGTATCGCTTATCGCAAAGCATTTTTCAATCTCATCAAAAAGAAATCCTTGACAGTAGTTACCTTATCGGACACAACTCCCCTGAATTATTCTGGAACTCTATGCTTTGTGATCATAAAACTAATGCGATTTGAATGATTTCATTTTTCATCAGCAAAACTTTTATCCATAAATACAGTGGGTTATTCAATCCTTGATGCAATGTCTAAATCCATGCAGTCAATAACGATTTGAACATTCTCTTTCCAGTTCTTAAAGTTGGTTCCATTAAGCACATGAATTGAATTGATTGTGACAGATATTGAAGAAGCAGAAGAGTTAATTGAATATAGAACAAAGCAAAATAAACATATTCACATTAGAATTTGTATTCAATAGTTAATTAATTCAAATAATGGTAAATCCCATAAGAAGATATCGAGTTCAATATTGATTTTAGTCTTTGGACAAAAATACCAACTTGTAAGTAGTACTCTTGATGTAGTAATCAAATGTTGACAATAAACGATGTCAAACAATAAATCAATAACATACCAAAAAAAACTATACAATTGTCATATATTTATTACCATATATGTGCCTGTAATTCGACCAAACATCTACCTTCATTTGAATCCGTGAATATCCGCATGAATTACAAATACACAACCATCTTTAAGATCCAAATAAATTAGCTTAGATAAGAGATGTTACTTTGGCAACATATTGTTTCAACTAATAAATTTAGAACATTAGACAACCGAAATTAAATTTTAGTATCAAAATTTGAATTTTAATTGTTAACTCCTTAATCTTTTATTTGTGTATTTTATAACTAAAATTATTTAAAAGAACAGTAAATAGGCGCTGCATTGCAGCATTTGGTGTCGCAACGCTGCAACATTGCTGTGTAGCTAGAAAAATGCCAAAAAATTCCATAATTTTGAAATCCATGGTTTGAAATTCACACCTCAAATTTTATAAAACTAAATTATGAATTTCAACAAAAAAAAAATAAAAAAATCATTTATTCTCAATGGTTTAACATAGATTGGCTCTAATACTTCTTGTCGAATATTTATGAAACTTAGACTTCATAAACTTTACAAAATTGCCATGATCTCCACGTCAAATCACCAAAAAAAAATGTTGTACATACCTTGATCCATTGATTTATATATTAAATATTGAATCTTGAATTACAATCATTTAATCTTGACTTCTACATCTTTAATCTTGACTCTTGATTATGAATTCTTAAATTCTTCAATCATTCTTCTTGATTCTTGGATTCATTTATGCTGATTTGAATCTTCCTCTTCAATATATTTTTTTAATTAATTTTTGTGTTGATGGAATGACACGAAGAATGAGAAATTGCATATGAATTGGATGTAACCATATTTATAGTTTTTATATGTATTTCGCCCCATCATGAAATACAATTATAAAGGACTCTGGTCGCTAGACATGTAACTAGGCCCACACTTTATTTAGATATTCAAATCCTAATTACTTAATCTTTATTAAATCACTTTAATTTTGGATTTAACTTTAAAATAATCTTTGTGGAAATTACATAATACCAGGGATTTAAAGACTACGATACAAAAATCAGAGGTGAAGTTTATTTAATCAAAAATCAGGTATTAATTAGATATTTTATTAATAAATTATTCAATTTCAAACCCTAATTCACTCTATTCTCTCTCTACTCTATCTCCATTTTCTCTACCTTCTCTCTACTAGCACCATCGCCTGTTAAATCTGATTGTGACTAGTGTCGAGTGCCGAACGAGTGTTGATGCTGCGATGAGCACCGGTGCCGCAACAAGCAACGATGTAGTGGCTACTAAGCGTCGATCTGAGCCCCGAAGATGCAGCTTTGTTGTGGCTGTGCGTGCGACAACACTGGTCAGCGGCAATGTGACAACTTCGCGACACGCAAAAGATAGTTCAGTGTGTAGAAGTGTATTGGTGCGGTGTTTAGGTGTTTGTTGGGTTTGTTGGTTTTTGGAGTGGTGGTGGATGTGGTGGTGGTGTCGGGTGGTTGCAGTGGTGGCTTGGATTTCAACTTGAAGAAGAGGTCGAATGAGTCCAGGAGCGAGTTGGATGAGTCCGAATTAGCGAGTTCGAACGGGGTGTGAAAGAGAATTAGTGAGTTTTATGTTGGGGAACGATCGGTGGGTGTGACGATGGTTTGCTGCTAGCAGTGTGAGTGGTGTTGATTGATTGTTGTGATATGATAAGGGTGGATCTGGCAGTGGTGTTGCAATGATGGTGGTGGTTCAGTGGTGGGGGTAGTTATGACGCTGGTGGTGGTGGTTGTTGTGTTTCGGTAGTGTTGGGTGGTTCTTGTTGGTAGTGGAACTGGTGGTGGTAGTGTCGGCAACGAGGTGGTGGTTGGAGGTTGTGCGGTGTAGGCAACAGTTGTGTGTGGTTGTTTGTGGTGGTGGTTGTGCGGTGGAGGTGGCAATAATGTTGGTGGTGGTGGACGTGGGTCGGACAGCGTGGGGTAAGGATGTTTGTTGATGGTTCTGGTGGTATGGTGTAGGCGATGGCGACGATGGTTGTCATTTTTTTGTTGCTGGTAGTTTGTGGCAGTGTGGTATGGTCGCTCGTGTTTTGGTGGTCGATTTTGTTGTTATTAGCGGTGGTTGTGGTGGTGGTGTGGCGAGGGAGAGGTGTAATAGTAATTGTGACCAACTATTTGATTGCTCTGTGATCAAGTATTAGTAGTGAATTGGAATCGAATGTGGAGTTTTTGGTGTATGTGACCAATGATTTGGTCTCTAACCTTTAAAATTCAATAATCAGTTACCAATAAATTTGAAAATATGTGACCCATAGATAAATTGTGACCTTTAATTTGAATGAGCCGTGACATCGAATAATCTGTGGCCTACAAAATTTTTTGATTTGTGACCACGAAATAATCTATGACTAATTAGTTTGATCATATGTGACCAGCAAATAAATCTGTGACTATTAATCGTATAACTATGATTTTATTATATTTATATAATAAATATTTTTAATTAATTAAATATATACCTGAATTTTGAATTTTCAAACTATCTACCTGATTTTTGAATTGGTATAAATAATACCCATGAATCATGATTTTTTCCCATAATCTTTATACACAATTAGTTACATATATAGGCCCACATTTCAAATTAATATTTTTCCAAACAGACACACCATATTCGACCAAATTCACAATGAGATTTGGGGGTGGTTTGAGAGAACTGGCCTATTTAAAACTTGCAAGCATTTTTCGAAGATAAATGAAAGGTCAACCGCTACTTTCTCAAAATCATAGCTTGATTTGAGAATGTGACATAAAGAAAAATGAGATCTGAATTAGGATTTTAGGATGTGGGTTTTGAGATTTGGCAGTGTGGTCGCGGTGTAGTGATGATGGCTGGATTGTGGGTGGCGTGGGGATTGGAGGTGGAAGAAGATACCATTATCTTTTAAATAACGTTATTTGTAATCACTCACTAACAACACATGAATACATGTGATGATTAATGATTTGATATATTAAACAATAGAAAATTATCACATTAATACATTAAATCACAAACCGTCATATAAGATATCACGTAAGATGACTATCGTAATGAACGACTATGAATAAAATTACTTTTTTTTTTTAAAAAAAATCTTTGCATTTAGTTTTTAATTATTTGGACTTTTTAGTGTATGGGATGATGTTGGGATTGTCTGGATAGATAGCAAAGATGATTCATTTTCCTTTCTCAATTTGAAAATAAGTATACAATAGTCATTTGACTTTTGGCGACAGTATTTTGGTCAATTTAATACATTGTCTTAGTGAAGAGCACGTGTCCATTTAACGGAGAAAATGGACGAATCAGACAGCAATGCTAATTCACACGAAAGATTGATATGATGATACAATTGCAACGCTGACAAAGAATAAAAACATTTTTTATTTTTTATCAATTATCCAAAAAAGAAGTTTAGTTTTATTCATCATTATCAAGCCTTGTCGAAGGAACGTCCAAAAACCGTCTAAAAAACTACAGACACGTTTTTATTTAAATATTCGTAAATTTAAGTAACCGTAAACTCTAGAGCATGTATAATTCTTCAAAAATGAAAGTGAAGGTCTGTACAGTCGCTCAGCCATGGATTCCCAGAATCACTTCTTTTAACAGCTCGTACTTGAGCCCTTTGAAGGTGTACTTGGAGCTGCTGCACCCAATCCAATTGCCTCAGAGCTTGTCATCAACCTCAGTCTCTTACATGATTCAACAAACATTCTGCAAAACATAAATACCCAAAAATGATTAGAATTTTGCTAGTTTGCCAGAATTTTTTTTGACAGAATGGTTGACATCCACTCACATGCCGTATGGGTCCTGCGTGAATAAAAAAGTCCAAAATAAAAGTGGACCCCGTCATTGTGAGTGTCGGTCAGGTTGATGCGTCAACCATTTTCGATTACTATAACATAGTTGAAATGATTATTAGCAAACCAAATTAACACATAGATTATGAAACCATACTAACACTTAGGGTTGGCGAACTTTGCGGGCTCAGCCCGACCCATGGGCTGAGTCGAACCCGTTTCTCTTCACGAGCCGATTCGTTTGGGCTCGTGGATTAACTCTTTTATGGCTGTATTAATTTTGTGTTAAAAATTTCTGCTTGTTTTTGGGCTTATTTTGTTTATTCTTTTTTTGTTAAGCCCGGAAATTGTCATGCCTACTAACACTATAAAAATGCTTGATCAATAATTTTTTTTTTTTTTTTGTCCAAGATTTTCAAAAGAGTACTCACCCACAAAAGTTTCATCGATAAATCGATGGTAATCATAGGAAAAATAAGTTTGAAGTCGAATTTGTGAAACTTACTTCCAAGGGACATCTCCAACTAACATCCAATCTCCATCTTTGTCCTCATAAGTTGGCACGTACTCTTCACCATTTGCAGAGTCCATGAGTTTCCTCTCATTCAACACATTACCTAAACCAAATCCAATTTAATCATCATTAATACTATAATCATAAGAAAAAAAAATAATTAATTAGAATCCATTAACTATGGTGCTTACATATGGTTAAGCATGTAAACATATCTCCCATTGCAGTCAACAAATCCTGGTAGCTACTGTGTATTTCCAGATCAATTTTTCTTAAATATGGAGCCCCATCTACGCCTACTTTCACGTATTTGCAATTTTTTATCAAGTTCTTCCTTCTTCACCATTAGCAGAGTCCATGAGTTTCCTCTCGTTCAACACATGACCTAAACCAAATCCAATTTAATCATCATTAATACTATAATCATAAGAAAAAAAAAATAATTAATTAGAATCCATTAACTATGGTGCTTACATATGGTTAAGCATGTAAACATATCTCCCATTGCAGTCAACAAATCCTGGTAGCTACTGAGTATTTCCAGATCAATTTTTCTTAAATATGGAGCCCCATCTACGCCTACTTTCACGTATTTGCAATTTTTTATCAAGTTCTTCCTGTATGATCTCACTGGAGGCCATCCCACAACCTGAGCCCTATAATAGGTATGACACTTACATTAGTGACAAAATAACAATATTTTTACGACAAACTCCAAAAGCCAAGATGCATTTTGTATTAGACTCGACTAAGTAGTACAAAGAAAAGAACTTTAATATTGTGGAGTACTATTTTGTACGAGCACATTTGCGACTGAACTGAGCCCATGTTTGGTTTGAATAAAAATTAAATTTTTAGTAAATTTTAATAAAAGTCATGGTAAAATGCATAGTTCAAAAGTTGATTAAAAATATACATATCATTAAATGTATGGTTGAAAATAAATTTGAAAAAATATAGAATTTCAAGAAATGGGCAAACCGAGGCTAAAAATTAGATTTTTGATTATCCGCTTACAATATGCATGTAGTTGCATACTCGATTAATCTTCTCCATGTGTTAAGTGAACAACCACTATATCAGCCGTAACTAAAATTGTCAATTTTTCCTTAGTTTTAAGGGCATAACAAATGAACTCGTATGCTTAATAAATTGAGGACAAACAACATGAACGAATCTTTGTTTATGCCACGAAATTTCACAAAAATAATGTGCAGTAAGATAAATTGATATAAATTGATATACTGGGGAGGAGGTTGTGATTCAGCTTGGTCATAGTTCGCCAGCTTCAGATCGACGTCGGAAAATCCACGCTTTATACCAGACTTCTGAACTAGCGAATCGCCGGGCAAACCTAAAGTGAGCTCCGTTTTCAGAACGCCAGAGGTTTCAGATTCCAGCAACTCTTTTGTTATTTCTGATGACATTTTTTCTGTCTTTATAAATTGGTAATTGGCAAGCTATAAAGATTAGAGAAAATTAGGATCGTTGAACTTGAAGCTAAGCATGAGATGAGTGTGATATATATGGAAGAAGAGATCTGGACGGCAGAAATTTCTATTGACCATTCATGATTCAACACGTGTCCAAGGATGGAGTCAAGAAATTTGTTAAGTGCGAACATAATTTAACACAAGGACAGACCCACATGGGATCATGTGGGATCAAATGACCCCCCCCCTTTTTTTTTAACAATCTATTTTGATGCACTCGTTAAGATGCCAAATGGAGTCAAAATATTACATTCTTAATATCATTTCGAAGTGCTTATGACCTAGTTTTTCACTCATTAATGGCATGTGAAGTGATCAACTATAGAAAAAGTTGTGACATGTTAAAGCAGGGCTTTTGAAACTAATATTTTGAGAATTTTGATAATATCCTAACTTTAAAAATTCGTTTGCGATCATGTGCTATCTGAATCCACAAATCGTCTATGCTATGTAAAAGTTTGTTTCGAAAACTATATCGTTTTCATATCTAATAGTCCAAACGGATATAGAAAATAGTTAAATATGTATCAAGCAAGGACAGACCCACATGGGATCATGTGGGATCAAATGACCCTCCCCCTTTTTTTTTTAACAATCTATTTTGATGCACTCGTTAAGATGCCAAATGGAGTCAAAATATTACATTCTTAATATCATTTCGAAGTGCTTATGACCTAGTTTTTCACTCATTAATGGCATGTGAAGTGGTCAACTATAGAAAAAGTTGTGACATTTTAAAGCAGGGCTTTTGAAACTAATATTTTGAGAATTTTGATAATATCCTAACTTTAAAAATTCGTTTGCGATCATGTGCTATCTGAATCCACAAATCGTCTATGTTATGTAAAAGTTTGTTTCGAAAACTATATCGTTTTCATATCTAATAGTCCAAACGGATATAGAAAATAGTTAAATATGTATCAAATGTACGTCTAAAAAAAGACATCTAACTCGTTTTTTCTTTTAAAAAATTCAATTAATTATTATTTTTGCACGATAAATTTTTCAATATAATTTATATCTTTTCATTCGAAAGTCTTACATGAAATATGACGTAAATTTTTTAGGGTCGTTACTGATTAAATACAATTTGAATTACTTTCGAATTATATTTGCTTTAAATTTGAATTTCATTTACTTTCTGAACTAAACTTAAATTTTATATCAATTCATTTAATTTCTATATTGAATTTAATTTATTCAATGTTAGCTCAGCATTTGCCAATAAAATGATAAACAAAACTTTATAAGTAGCAAATATTATTTAATAATATTAATAATGATGTAATTATACGATATTTTCAAAGTGTCAAAATACATATAAACTTATATTCATTAATTAATATTATGTTGTTTATTAAAAAATTATTTTTAAAATTTTGACCCCACAATACTAAAGGTTTGGGTCCGCAACCCATGTCGAACAATATGTTTTTGGTCATGAATTTAATGATGGTAAAACTATAAAACAAAATCATGGATTTGGGCCTAAAAATAAAACCCATGTAAATTAAAACATGTTTTTATTCCACCTCCCCTGTTGATTAAAAATAAATAAATTTGTTTGGGCCTAAAATTTCAGTGCAGGCATATTATTTTTAAAATTTTGACCCCACAATACTAAAGGTTTGGGTCCGCAACCCATGTCGAACAATATGTTTTTGGTCATGAATTTAATGATGGTAAAACTATAAAACAAAATCATGGATTTGGACCTAAAAATAAAACCCATGTAAATTAAAACATGTTTTTATTCCACCTCCCCTGTTGATTAAAAATAAATAAATTTGTTTGGGCCTAAAATTTCAGTGCAGGCATATGCTCGCACTCATCTCAACGTGGCTCCGCCCATGCACGTGTCCAAGTTTAAGCGCCTTCGATTCGACCACGTCGATGCAAGTTTATGATGTAAAGTGTGCGTTTGTAATTTTGGTCACTCAATCGTTGACCACTAATGCACATCTAGACATGATTATGCGTGCATAATTATCTTTCTTTTTTTTTCAGATTTTTCTAAATTACTAGTAGTAAGCACGTGCGTTGCACATCTTATATGCGGAATGAATAATATGCGTGATATTTTTAAAGTAAGACAATTGTTAATGTTAAAAGAAAAAAATTAAACTTGTTAAAGAATATATATATATACATAAAAGTTTTATGAAAATTACGTACATAAAGTGAAAATGTTGAATAAATTGAAATGTAACGATTTGCTTATGCTAAACTTTGGTTGAACCCCTATTTTCAACTATTACGGAGAGATCAACCAATTTTATAGTACAGACAGACACGAAAAAAATCAAGTTAAAAGATATACATTTGATTAAGTTTAAAATATTTATGTATAAGTAAACTAAAGGTACGTAAATAATTTTTAAATTAAAAAATTACTCATTGTTTTTTTTTTGTACCATAAACTTTTTTTTACATGAAAACAAAACAAAAAAAGTGTATTATCTTAACATATTTAGAAAAAAAAAATTACATATTAATCATGCTTGTCATATTAAATCATAGCATTTATTTTAAATTAGAAACCAATGTTACATTCAAAATATATATGGAAGTGAAAAATCTTAAATAAAAGTTTTCCTTTCCTTTTGAATGAGGTTAATACAAATGGAGGAATAACAAATCTTCATTTAAATGTATTGAGATAAAAAAAAAAAAAAAATTTCTTTTGTTTATATATTAATATATAATAAGTTACAGGATTATAATCAATTTTTATGCTTATACAAAAATAAACACGCAATAATAAATACCAAATAGTATATTAATTAGTTTTTAGAACACATAATATTAAATTTTATTAATAATTAAAAAAATTGGATTTAGTGAAATGTGTAATTGAGATGTGAAGCTTGTATTTAGTGCGTGGATATAAATATGGGAAGTGTAAGTAATTTCTAATTATTAGGAGTAATTAGTAAAGTTTTTAAGATTGATGGATAATTTTTTCCGTCATTGATTATTTCTCTCATAACTGTTGATCACATTTAAGCACTTTTTTCTTTTCGATTTATTATCCTTTGTATTTAAATAGTTATATTAAAAATTATTAATTAATTAAACAAGAAATTTATAATTTTTGAATGAAAATATTGACAATGTTATATAAGGACAAAATGATAAATTGAACATTTTTCGTCTATCTTCACATTTTATTTTTATATATATTGTAATTATATAAGTAGATGAAAGTTGATTTTAAATGAAGCTCACGGATATAAATAGTAAATAATATAATATATATACATGTACGTATATAATAACATTATAATATATTAAAGGTGGTATTAATTATAGATTAATTAAATTTTTATCTCATGCAGTCACCTTTTTAAGTATAGAGTTCATTTTTCATATTGGAGTACTCATAATTTTGGGTTAACTAAATTAAGTTTAATCACTTAAAATCAAAGCTGATCTACATATATAATCATATTAAAAGTATAATAAATATTGTTTTATATGATAATTAATCTACCATTATATTAATGCAACCTTTAATATATTTTATTATATAATTATAATAAAATTATATCTGTGAGCTTAGATTTTAAATGGTAAACTTAATTTCCACAATGTAAGTTAAGTAATTAAACTTAATTTGATTAATGTAAAATTTTAGGTACTCCAATATAAAACAATAAGTGTTACACTTAATGAATATTAAATGAAGTTAAATTATATTAAATTGTACTATATTAAATATATAAGGGTAGAATTGGCATATAACTAAAAATATAAGAGATTTTTATTAAGAGAATTAATTCAACATGAAATTGAAAAATGGATATTGTTTAAGGAATTCAAATGATGACCTTTAATAATCTTTATAGAAATTAAATTTTTTTAATTTAATTAATAGCATTACACTTAAATGGATATTAAATAAAGTTAAATTATATTAAATGGTACTATATTAAATATATAAGGTTAAAATTGACATATAACTAAATATGTAAGGGTAAAATTGGCATTCAAAAGTTTCTTCCCAATCCTCACACTTTTACTATATTGTAGATAACTTAAATATTGATTTTTTCGGTTTTAAATTCAAAATAGCAAAGCCTTGAACAAAGGAAATCTCCCAAAAATTTCTATTTATTTACGATTTAATATTTACATTTGGAACTTATCTTTTTGTTAAAAACTTTGAGAAAATGTATAAATTTCTTATAAATTTGATTTAGATGTTTGGTAGGTATTAATTTTAATTACTAAACGATTTTTTGATTGATTAAAAATTTAAATAATATTAAAATAAGAAAATGCCTTTTTACACTGTTTTACGCCGATGCTTCGTCTAAGCTCGTTTAGCCCATAGTTTAACCTCTACGTATCCTCACATATTACGTCTTTTAAAACACTGATTTTTGATCTTTCGGTGTGGCCTTAATTGGGTGCTTGTCCACATGAAAACCCACGTGGACTATTTGATCAACGCAAACACCATTCATTGATTTTCAAACGTTTAAATTTTCTTATGACTTAGACTTTGACTACGGGGAATTTAGTCCAAGTTTGGCTCTCATTTTTTGAAAAAAAAATTGGTGGAATAGTATTTTCTTTTAAATGAGTGATTGAAAATTAAAAGGTAGGGACGTTTCGCACAATAACTTTGAAAGGTAGGGACCTTTTATGCTAATTACTTTTTTGATTTAACGGAGCATTTTAACGGAGAGTTGAAAGAAGAAATATTATTTTATGAAAAATTATGTAATTAAAAATAAAAGAAAGAAAAATGAAATTTAATGTAATGAGATTTAAATGGGGGCTTAAATCCCCGGCTGAGAAAACTAAAATCAGGGCACGATTAAAAATTTTAAGGTAAAAAAGTCAACCTTTCGTGAGTCCGTGTTCTCGGAGAAATTTGAGTTCAGGACAGTCGGTCCCACGATCCGCATGTGAATGTGTTGCTTTGTCGGGTTATAATTTCTCTTTACGTACCATCACGTGCAAGTTTCCTGTTAGAGCTTCAATCTTTAAATATTCTCTTTTTCTCCAATTTTATTTTAATAAATAATTACACACTATTTTAATAAATTAATTTTACATGTAAATTCAAAAAATTTCTTACTTTTTAACTACACACGTTCCCAAAAAAAAAAAAATTACAAAATCTATTCTTCCATAAAATGGAACTCGAACAAACCTCAATAATAAGATATTTAATCATACCTATTAAAGAAGGGATTATATTAATGAACCTCTTGGTAGTCAAAATTCCTTTAACCCAACGGGGTTAACACATGATAAAGATGAAGAGGGCTTGATGTTCCCATTAATTTTTAGGCCACTGTCCTGATTTGATTAAGCATGCCACATTTTCATTACATTTCTAAGTTGTTTGTTACCCTATTTTAATCGTGTAAACGTTACTTTTACCACAGACGATAAATTCAACACGCTTGTAAATTAAGAAGATGGGTTTGAGAAGTTGATTTCAATAAATCAATTATTGTAAGCAAAGAAGACAATCACACTTCAAAGAAAGAATTTTAAAAAGTCATTTCGAATTGAGAGAACAATCAAATAAAATTGTTGACCTCGAAATCCAACGAAACACGTGACCAATAAATTTCCATACATAGCATCTTTTTACAAAAGATCTCTTGATTGAAGTGATGCTTGCAGAATATGCCTTACTAGCCAGAGGTTGATCGCTTCAAAAATCCACTTGTGCGCATTGTGGCACCTCGTCTTAGAAGCAACTTTCTGATGGGATATCACTTTGAACGAGACGCCTTAATAATCTTGATTGGCTGTCAAATCGCTTCGAAGAGAGCAGAGGATGGACGAGGTGACAAGAAGATGCGCATTGCATGTCATTTTTAATTTTACTTAGCTGATTATCCGTCTATAAGATGAAACATAATAAAAATACGTATCAATCTCATAGGCAGTGTGGTGGTAGTTAATTGGGCTGCTGAGATTAATTAATTTTAAATTATTAAATTATCAATGTATGGTAAGATTCGATACCTGCAACTCAATGACAACGAGTTCAGTTTACACATAATAATCAAATTAATTTGTTAAGTAACAAAATTTTGCCTGCCATTTATGTACATGCATAACTTGAGACGCATGACCCGGGAACATTGTTTCAGCTACAAAGCCCCTTGATTTCTTATCAGTTGTTGTTTGTTTAGAATTCAAATCCCACAGTTTAAAGTGCTGACTTTTGGTTTATGCCTCTAAAAAATTAATCAAGTTCCTAGATACGAAATAAAAAGAAATATTCAATTCTATTCACTTGGTCAACAAATGAGTAAAAAAAAAAAGTTAAATGCAATGCCTACATGCTTAGTACGTAGTACCATTAGGTTTAGGTTGTACTAGACATTATGTTAAAAAAATAAAATTAACTTTCTTATTCTTTAATAATATTATCCAATATTAAAAGTAAATTTTGTTGCAATTTCGTTTATCCATCCATGTGTAGAAATTTTGCTCGTTGACCCCATTTTTGAAAATAAATTTTGTAAACAGTTAATTTTTTTAAAAAAAAATGTAGGGTTAAAAAGTATGAATTTTTTTTGAGTTTAAGTGCAAAATTATTTTTTTAGGAGAATATATGGTTGAAAATGAATTTGAAAAAAAAATCGAAAATCAAACTCAAACAGGTGCATAGTAGTAGGAACAAAATGGTGTAAATTTTGTTATATTTTAGTTTATCCGTCTATGTCCGGAAGTTTGCGAACGAAGAAATTAGATCAAAATGAAGCATCCGTATGGAAGGGTTTTTGCTTTTATTTTTTGTAGAAGAGCTTCATGATTAATTTACCTTAGGGTCCGTTTGATTGCAAAAATTGAATTGAATTGCCTAGAAAATGAATTCCAGATAATTGAATTGCTTAGAATTATTTTCCTGGAAATTGTAAATTATTGTGTTTGATTGGTATAATTTTTCAGGTGGAAAATGTTGAAATAAAAGTATTTTTTTTATGTTCGTTTGGCTTTGTTTTATAAGGAAATTATCAATTAAAGGAAAATATTTTTTTATAGTAATTCTTAGAATTGGTTTCCATTACCAACAAAAAAAAAAAAGTCGCTACAGTAGGGTGGAATTTGATGGTGAGAATTCAAATTCAACCAAAACAAGGAAAATTCCAAATTTCAAGAAATCCAAGAAATGCAATTCCATGGAAAATATAAGGTATCAAACACCAAAAGTTGGAATTTTCAATTCCAATTCCATCTTCTTCTTTTTTTTCCATTTCCATGCTATCAAACAGTCCCTTAGGTCAGCTTTATTTAAAAGTTCTTCTAGATAGCTAAAACAATTCCAAAAAATTTTGTAAACATTTTCAACAACACTACTTTATTTCAAAAGCAATTTTAGACTGAAAATCATGTCAAACGGACTCGAATTTTAATCAACATTTAGTTTTATCCTGTTAGCAAATTTGTTTGGTAAATATTATGGTTATGCACTTGCATATTTAAAAGTAACCAAGGGAATCTGATCCAACGAAGATATACAAAGTTATCACTTGCTAATTAATAAATTAATTTAGTATATCACGATCCAAGATGATACAATGATCCTGGGAAACGGACTAGATTCAAGAACCATGCTTAACTGCTTAAACGAATTACAATTTTAAATTAGCATTAAATTATTAAGTTCCTCGAGAGAATAGCTTACTTCGAGGCGGACCATGAACTGGGTCGATTTTTCGAATTCAAGTCCACAGATTTTGATTTGTTTAAGTTATGACTTGTCTGGTTTCAGAACTTTAAGAATATTATCTGTTAAAGAAATTCATTGATCTTCTCTGATTTAAGTGATCTTTTACGATTACATCCACGATGATATGATTATGTATTTATATACATTTTCATCCATTTTTTTGACATATTTTTTATTCATTTTTAGTTACTTGTTATTTATATACACCTTATCGACTTGTTTGGTAGTAATTATCAGAATTGATTTTTTGATCTTTAGAGAAAAAAGTGGGTTCCACCTGTGAATGATGAAATAAAAAATGATGGCTGAAATAGTAAAATAACGATCAAAAATTAATTTTTTTAGGTGAAAAATTGTTATCAAACGGGGGCTATATATTGTGCATTGGACATATACGGCCCTTATGGGTTTGTCCCGTTACTTGGCTTAGTTCGTTATTTTATTTTAGTTTATATTAATGACAGTTTCATCTTCGTGCTTTCATAGAATTTTTACAGTATTTTAATCTCTTTCGTTTGCTACGGTGGATTATTTTGATTAAAACTAAATACAAATTTGAGAAGTTTTCTCCATTCTTGATCTTGTTTTGAGTTTCTTTGGGTTCTTGAATCTTGATCGTTCTGTAACTTTGTTTTCACTCTTCATCTGCATCGCTTTGTAAATATAATACAGAGTTTTACTCTCTATAAATAGTAGACACGAAATAAAAGGTAAACATGTTTTCATTTCAATGTTAAAAAGGAAATAAAAATTAAAATCTCGTTTATTATATTGCAGAGTTATGTCCAATATTACGTATAAAACATTGACTAAATGTAATACTAGACTGAGACGACAATATTGAAATGACCCGCTTTATATTTCTTAGAAATTATTTATCAATATAAATATATTATCTCATACCAAATAGGGGCAAACTTGAAAACTTGGAGAACGAAGTCTGCATTCTTACAGAACACTAATTAATAAAAGTTTAAGGTAATTAATAAAACAATTGCTAATTTATGGACTACAAACAGCCCATTGTGCAAAGAAAGTTGTGATGAACAGACAGTGCATAGTATGCAAATCCTTAATTCGAAAAGTGATTAATTATAGGGTCATGCCTCTATTGAAATGCCCTCAAGAAGGTCTTTTGCATGAAGCCCAATGCCCTTCGCATCCAAACTCTTCATGATCCTTAGCCTCTTGCATGATCCACTGAACATCCTGCAAATTATACCATGTTAGGTTATAAGAAATGTTTGCTACATTTTACTGTTGAACGAGACAATCAATAAATTTATCGAGTAATGTGTATTTTAGAAGTTAATCACAAGGTAACAACATTTACAAATAAATAACTCGGAAGTACACCAAACAATGTGTTTTGGATGATTAATGTCTAAGAGTGAAGCGTGATAAGTGTGCTTGACCACATAGGGTTATCCATTTAAAGCGAGAGAAATTTCGTTCATCTCTTATTCATTTTCTGCCGTCACATTCTCACTGGCAGACGTGGGTTTATAAAAGATGGGTATTCTATCAACATTTTCCGACTTAAGACAATAAGCTCGTGATTAAATGAGCATGAAACAAATGCTTAGAGAATTAACACCATGTTTGGTTAAGTTTACAAGTTTCTTAAAATGATTTTTTTTAAGGCACGGTTCACACTATTGAAAAAGCTCATATTATCTATGGAAGTACCTTTCAAGGACACATCTAAACATAGCCACCGTAAATCACTAAATTTAACCCCGATGTCTTACGTTAAAATCCGTTTGACTGACAAAGCTTTTTTGAGATTATAATTAGTTGATCAAACTTCATTTTTGCCATGCTTTTCATTGGATCCACAACTTTTTACCGTACATTTCATGGGATTCATCAATTTATAATGTCGAAAACTTAAAACATCTTGGAAAAGAGTTGAGAATTTTTGAATATATGACATGCCAAGTACTGTCAAAATAATTGATTCTTGGAAGCGTGGCTGCAAACAGAGTCAAGGACAAACAATTGGAAGATTAAAACAAATGTTCTTCGTCAGTGTGATTATTGGGTTGGACAAGGAAAACTTGTCCTGGCAAACTTTCTACATACTTTTATCATGTTTCGCTTGACCTCAAGGATTTGTCCTTCTTTTGCCAGCCAATTCATTATGAAGATTTAGGTGTGAAGGGCAAACCACCAAAATTACAATACTTCTATGTCAATCCATTTTACATTCTGAAAAATACTTTAATTAGTCTCTCATCTATTAAAAACAAGTTAGTCGAGATATCAAAAATATAAAGAAAGAGAAAGGACTGACTTCCATGGGACGTCTCCAACAAGCATCCAGTCGCCATCTTTGTCCTCGTATATTGGAACGTACTCACTACTCTCTCCTTCACCTGTTCACAACAACTAAATCATTAGTAATTTTTTCATTCTTCATTAATTCCAATATTTTTCTCCCCACCCTCTATTCTACACTTATGTTTTATCATTAAATTTGCAATTTTCCATCCCTAACAAAATTTCACTCGCAGTTAGTACTCACAACTGCACCATTCCGCGTATCCTAGTGGTACAAAGAATGGACCAACTCGGTCTTATAGATATACGTGACAAGTTTAATGATTACATTACATTCAATCTACGTACCAAATATATTCTATAAAATATTGAAATTCACTTTAAACAAAACCATTTTTGACACTCGGAAATTTTGCATGGCGAAAATGGCTAAGCATCAATAGAATTTCCCTTTCCCAACAATCTAAAATCCCAAATCACGAAATAAATAGTAATTTGAAAGAATAGAATTACTGACCAATATAGCAGAAAAAGAGTTTCTCAAGAGACATGAGAAGACTAGAATACCCCTCAAGTGGACTCAGATCAATCTTGCGAAGAAAAGGGGCACCATCCATGCTAACTTTCACGTACATTTTTGTTCCCTCTTCCTCGCTAAAACTATTCTTCCGCCGGTAAGAACATACCGGTGGCCACCCCACCATTTTATTCTTCTTTGCCGTGTTAGTCTCTTCACCAGAAAATTCAGAAAACACCCTTTTCTTCTCCTTCTTCTCCATTGAACCACTAGCTTCACTACCACCACCTCCGGGAAGAGCCAACGTTAGTTCGATCTCGAGTCCTAAACCATCCTTAGCCATTTTCGGTCAATCACTAGTAGAATACACAAATTATGTAAATGAGTTGGATGATTTTTTTCAGTATGTTTTTTTTTTTTATCAAACAGTTGGTTTTTATACATGTTTACGAGTGAGTACACAAAGAGAACAAAGCCAGGTCAAGCAAGATTAATTGTCGGTCACATGAGATACAATGGTGGGGAACTATATGCTACCTAATACACTAGAATGGACCGGCAAGATTAAAGTTAAAAATAAGCGGTTTGGAGGGCTCTTGATCTGTGATGATTCTAGTAGTTTGATCATGACCGTTGTTAACGGGAACATTACATGTTATCTGCTTGATTGAGGTGGACCTCATCATCTTTGCATATTTATTTATTGATTTTATTATTATGTCTCTTGCCATTTGTGTTTTTTTGCAATTATTTGCTTACGGAAATTTTTCATAACGAACATGTATCAAAGGAAACTGAAAAGGAAATGCACGAATTAGCTCGTGACATCAAGATATAAGGAAAGGACGATAAGATATTCTACCTAGACTTATATGCTCCTCGTGATTATATGCTAAGTGTAGAGCGTCTCTGGCTTGTGATCAGTTTTAATCTCTCTCTCTCTCTCTCTCTCTCTCTCTCTCTCTCTCTCTCTCTCT